CTGCCTGGGAGCAGCCCCGCTAATACGCCCTGCAAAGTCTAGCACGCCCCAGGTCCGTGGCGGGGCACGGAGGAGGCTGCTTCTCCGCATCGCAGGCCCCGGCACCGGCCGGGCCCTCCGGTCACACGTGGAGGCCCTGGCGTTCTCGCAGGGGCCAGGAGCTCTGCGCCACTGCTCCGGGGCTGCCGCCCAACCCACCCTCGCTGGAGCTGGAGGGGACCCGGGGCCGCCTGCTTTGCAGGCAACATCTGTGGCCACGGGCCTGCGCCCTAAGCCACAGTTCGTGGACCTCATCCCCCTAGTGTCCTCTCCTGCTGGCCCTCTTCCTTTTGGAGACATTCAGGGACAAGTCCCACATCCACCATAATCTGGCCCAGTGAAAGGCTGAAGTGGGGGCTTTGGGGGAAACAAATGCAAACATCAGGGTCATTTCCAGGTCAATGGCTCCCTAAGGGTTGGCCCCAGGGCCAGAGCACAGGCACTGCTACACCACTCAGGTGGGAGCTGCACAGGTGTGAACCGTACAGGTGTGACGTCACACAGGTGGGAGCCTCTCAGGTGGGGAGTTGTGTAGGTGGGAGCCGCACAGGGATCTCAAAGGGGTCTTTGCCTGCCTGGTATCTCCCTGGTATCTCGTCTGCTCTCTGGGTCATCCTGAAAGCCCGTCCCCGTGGTCTCCAAAGCAGGCAGTTACTACAAGCCCAGAGTCCGCGAGGCCCAGGCTGCCAGTGCCGACTCTGGTCGGGGCGGAAGACACCTTTTCCCCGACCGGCCTGCACAGCAGGCAGGCGCTCCCCAGTCAGTGGACGGGGTGGGCAGTGCCCCGCCCCTCACAGCCACGAGGTCTGATCCAGGGACACACTCGGTGGCACAGTTTGCCCTTGAAGCTGCCAGGTGCCGAGTGTTCCAGGAGGGGCTGAGAAGGGCCCCCCAGCATGGTCTGCCTACCCCCCCACCCCGGCCCCTGGGCTGAAGCCCAGGTCACAGCCGCCTGGCCCAGACACTCACAGAGTGGTGATTGTGACTTCCAGGTTGCCCCCCTCCAGGGCCGCGAGGGTCAAGGGAGTCACGGACTCCAGCATCTTCCCAGGAATCTCCTTGTCGGTTGTCACGGCCTTCACATACCACTTCCCTGACACCTGGAGAAGGCTCCTCTTCATTAGGGCTCAGACCGACCCCTGCAGGGCCTCCCGCTCCCCTAGTCTGCAGTCTCTGGAACCTGCCCCTCCCCAAAGGCTAGAGACATTCCTCATCCCAGCCAGAAAAGACCCCGCGCCTCCCCAGACCCTCCAAATGCTGGCTCCCAGCCCCTGCAAGTCAGCCAGGGCCCCAGGACCCGCCACTCCTGGGGGACAGGTGAAGTCACCTTTCACAGACCCCCATCCTCCCAACCTGGTCCCCTGGCACCCTGGGCCCACCTTCTGCTCTGTCTGGCCGTTCCCTCAGGGTTATGGTTTAGAGACCCTAAAATGAGGGTCTAACCAGCAGTCTCAGCCTCTCCTCAAGCCCCCTCCGGCCCGCCCTGCCCCGCCTGAGCCTCACATCCTCACTCTCCTCGTCCGCGGCCGAGAGGTCCTGGGCCTGCAGGGCAGCAATGAGGCCGAGGCTGATGGCCAGGAACAGGGTCTTCATCTCTGGGGTCTGTGCTCACGGCCACCGACGGGTCACTCACTGGAGCTTGCTGAGGCTGTGCCGGCTCCTCGCACGGCTGCCCTTTATACCGCTACTCGCATGGTCCTCCAGGGCATTTGGCTCCAGTGACTGACCAGTGCCTTCCTGGATGTAAACCGTGGCCAGTTCTGCAACGAAGCAGATAAAATGTCATTATTGTTGGAAGTCGATGAATAACAGTTTGTTCAGTCCCCAAAGGATCATCTAGACGGGCCACTGTCCAGCAGAGCGGACTTGCAGGTTGCACCGGGGAGGGAACTGAGTCCGAGTGGAGGGTGTGCAGACCTCCCGTGTGTGGGGCCACGGCGGGGCTGTGCGTGGTCGCAGCAGCCACCATCCAGCTGTCCTGCGGGCCCCTGTGCCGCTGACGTGCACCTGCCAGAGGATGCAGGCTGGAGTCAGAGGGGCATGGGTCTCGACTGACCTTCCTGTGTCCCTGGGCAGGTTACTCACCCTCAGATTCATCATAGAAAAAGAGGGACCCTACTGGACGAACAAGGTACCACGTCCATTTGAAGAGGTGCTCGTGCTCCTGAGCACGGTGTGCAGTGAGGCCCCTTCTGCTCCGTACACAGAGCACGACAGGTGAGATGCACAGAGAGAAAACCAAGACACGGTGTGTGTGTGCACATATATACACGCACACGCACAGGCACACACACTTACACACATAAAATCATGAATGGAAGAAAAGCACAGAGTGGTGAAGAGGTCTGAGGCCAGGACCCCCTGGCTCCAAGCCCTGAGGTGGCAGAGAAGGCCTGGGGTCCAGCTCCCGGGAGCGATGGGTGGGGATCCTTCACTCCGGAGAGGAGGCTGAGAAGCCCTTCCTGACGCATCCCGGGGCCATAACTTGTTATAACTTAATGGGGAGCTGTGGGCGCAGGAAGGTGAGAGGACATTAGTGCAGCCTCCAGAGCAAAACTGAGACAAGCCGTCCTCTGACAGGGCAACTTTATCTGTGACATCCTCCGTGTCATAGCAGAACAGAAGCTTGGGACCAGGGACGGGGCAGAAGCCACGAAACACTGCTGGACAGAGAATGATGACAACAAGGTGACAAAGAAACACAGAAATGCATAGACAGAATAGCCTCGCCTTAAAACGAGCCAGCAAGCCAGTGCTCCAAATTACCCAAATAAACATCACACCGAGAAAGACAGATGAAAAATGAACAACTGGTATGGGAATTTATTCCAGCTAACAAAGTCTGACAAACATGTTAAAATTGCAGTAGTATGATGAAGATGCCTAAAGATTAAAAAGAATAAGAAACTGTAAAATTAGAACTGGCCAGGACATTAAAAAGGAGATATGAAACAGAAATAGTTATAAATCTTGGAGATGAATAATAGAGTAAATAAAAAACTCAATAGACAGGATAAAGTCTAGACTTGACAGAGTAGAAAAGAGACTCAGTATAATGGAAGGTAGTACTGATAAAAATCAGTGAAAATGCAAAAAAATTTTGAAAGAGAAATTGAGATGTTAAGAATAGATTCAGGAAAAAAAAAAAAAAAAAAAAAAGAATAGATTCAGAGTCTCCAGCCCACATCTAGCAGTGAAATGGTGTTGAGGAAACCAACCGGAGTGTGGCATCTCTGAAAAACAAAAAGAAACACAAACACACACACACACACACACACACACACAGAATAGATCAAGGGGCTCCAATATAAATGTAATAGGAGTTCTAAAAGAAAAGCATTAAAAAATGGCAAAAAAGCAACATAATAGCTCAGAATGCTCCAGAATTAAAAAGATATGAGATCCCAGATCTAAATTTCAAACAAGTAATGAGATCAAAATAGGGAAATGCACTCCTAGAATATTATAGTAAACTGCAGAGCATCCAGGATAGACAGAAAAAAATAAAAACTACCGGAAAGCAGAGACACATTACCTACAAGGGACGCGGATGTAGACTGACAGCAGATTTCACAACAGCGACACTTACTTCCGGGAGACAATGGATTAACATCTTTAACAAACTGGCAGGAAATAGCATTCACCTCTGAATGTTATACTCAGCTCAACTTTCATAAAATATTGGAGGTCAAATAAAGATATCTCAGATATAAAAAAAATCAAAACTGAGAGTCTACTACTCATTGACCTGTATTACAGGCAGTTTTAAAGCATAAATTTCAGCAAGACTGTGCACACCCAGAGGGATGCACAGGAAACACATGGCAGGGATAAGCTCAGTGATGAACAGAATGTCAGCAAAGTTAATTAACTTTGGACCCTAAAAACACTAATAGCTCATTTGTTAAATGAGGTGGGGAAGAAATTTCTATTTTAGTAGATATTTAAAGAGGGCTAAAGGCACAAAAACAAAACTATACGCATTTGCATGGGCTCATACAAACAAAAAGATGCACCTTAAGCCCACGAGAGCAGTGATCCCTGGGGAAAGCGAAACCGGAGCTGGGTGAACGAGTGTAATAAATAAATTTTAAAAACAAATAAAGAAGCCTGTTAGACAAAAGTATAATGTTTTTGCATCAATTGAGTAAAAAGGGAGCCAACATAAATACAATCTATCAAGAAAATAAATACTCAGCCAGGCACAGTGGCTCACACCTGTAATCCTAGCACTCTGGGAGGCTGAGGCAGGAGGATGGCTTGAGCCCAGGAGTTTGAGGTTGCTGTGAGCTATGTGATAACACCACTGCACTCTACCTGGGGCAACAGAGTGAGACCCTGTCTCCAAATTAAAAAAAAAAAAAAATGGAGCACATGGCCTCGTGAGTCCTGGCACTCTTGGATGAGTCCTTGCGATCAAGAGAGTGAGGTTTTGTCGTGAGGCTAAACAGATCGACAGAACAGGAGAGAGAGTCCAGAAACAGACTGGAAATAGAACCGGAAAAGTAGGGGCACAGCACAGGTGGCGAAGGCATTTGACGAGAAAAATATTGAATAAATGGAACTTTTTATCCATATGCCAAAGATGTATTAATATCAGTTTAGCTCCCTACCCCACCAGCACAGAATGAATACCAGGTAGATTAACAGGCTTAAAATATGAAAAGGAAAACTTTAAAAACCTATAAAAGAAAATATGGGATAATACCTCTATGACCTAGAGGTGAGTCCTAAAGTTACGTCTCATAGAGGCAGAAGACGAGCCAGGCTGGAGGGAATCCTCGCCATGTGCGCAGCCACACAGTTTTGGTGTGCGAGCGCACGAAGAACTCCTACAGGTGATTCAGACACAGACAGACAGGTGGAGGGAAAGCGGGGGAAGGGTATGAAAAGGCAACCAACGGGAGAGGAAACCCAGACGGCAGCGCAGATGGGAAGAGCTGCTACAGAGGAGATGGATCTGGGAGCCCAGGGGGCGAACACCTTCCGCAGTCTGACCGTGAGCAGCGGCGTGGGGAGCTGCGACATGATCCCTGCCCACGGGTGCAGCCGCCCTGCAGAGCGACGGGCACCGGCTGGCGAGGCTGAAGGCGGCATGCGCTGGGACTCGGCAGTTCTGCCGTCCCCCACAGACCCTAAAATGTCCAGGCATGGGCCCTCTCCACGCACAAGCTGGAGCTCCCACCGTCACAGGATTCTGTATGATTGGCCAAGGCCGTCTGGTTCCGTGGTGCCAGCGTGGGCAGGAGAGCGAGACGCGAGCAGAGGAGTACAGAACGGCGCGGACACAGCCGGGACGCTGAGTAGGACACACCGTGACAATAACCAGACAAGGGCAGCCACGACTGTCACCAGAAACATAACGCAAACAGCACAGGGCACATTATACGTTACAATTTGCTCCCTCCCACCCCAGTGACACATCTGGGCCTAACCTTGTAAGGTGGAAAACTCCCCCGCTCGACAGCAGCAAGGAGACGATATCCCCACTGGTCAAGAAAAAAGAAGAGGCAGCGTCAGGAAGGAGGAGAGGCCGGGCAAGAGGAAAAGGGATGGCACAGTGCCTCCAGTGCCACGGTCCGCTCGAACAGGTGCCCACGCTTAATCCCTTAAGCGTGAAGTTTCGCTGTAGTAAACTCTTCTGCTTGCCGCTCAAAACTGTCCCTTGCTTTCATTCTTCCATCTGGAGGAGACAAGGACCGAGGTGTTCACATCAACAGTCTCAGTGGCGCTGGCGGGGCCGCGGGCTAGTTTGCATGTAGCGGGGCCTGTTGACGCTCATGGCCCCTTTGGCGTGGGGCTGGGCTCCTGGCCTTCCCGGGCTAGTCCTGATTGTCAGGAGTATCCCTACCTGTGCCCGGGCCCCTGGTATCATCGCCGAAGGATGCTGGGCTGCGGATCACGACAGGGCGTGCAGGCGAGTCGGTGGGAAGTGAAGGGGAAATGAGTTTTGTTCTGCGTGAAGCCAGAGCCTCGTCTGTGGTCAGTTCCCCGGCCCCCGCTGTGCAGGACTGTGGGCGCGGGGTCAGTCGGCGTCCGTCCAGAATGGGAGCCCTCTCTGCCCGAAACGTGCTTGGTCACACGACGCGCACGGACGCCCCTACGGTTTCATACTTTTCCGATGGTTATCCCCCAAAGCAGAAATGATCAGATTTCTTGTTTGCCGGGCAAAGGCCCCCGGCAGGTCCACGACAAGTGTGTGTTCTGTGCACGAACTTTGAACTCCATGCTAGGGGAAAGTCTGAATTATCTTAATGTCCTGTTTATAGGAAATAGTATAAAATCAATTTCATAGGAAGCGGTAATCAAGGAGTAGCAGCAAAAGATACAGGAAGAAGTTTTATAGACTTTTGCCAGGTGGTAATTAATCACATTTTGTGTATTTTCCCTCCATTTGGTGGTGTTTACTGCAGTTATAGGGTTTTCATTTTTTAGCTACTGCTCATTCAGGAGAGACCAGCTTTTTAACGTGTGAGCTTTTGTGATTTTTTTTCTCACTCCAAATAAATATTTATTTTCATACCTAGATAGGTTGTAATTTGTATTAGTGTTTAAAGTGGCCTCCAAATTTTACACAAATTTTGAGCCCCACT